TGGAAGAATGTGCCATTTGTTTGTAGCAAATAGCAATTCAAATTATTTTAACAGAAGAAAAAATCACTTGTAACTTTTAGAGGGAGCATGAGACTCCATATTCGGGACATATAGTTCTCATTCTCATTCATGTTACATCTTCTGTTAGTAGTCAACAGTCCCCATTTATTTATATTCTCAATTATTTTTACGCTAACTTTGACTGTTAGTAGTTGACTCGCTTATACACAACCCTTTACAATGACCAAGTGTAACTAATGAAAGAGACTGTAGTATATCGGCACAAATAATAAATATCGAATTCAAGGGTCTCTAGAATTACTTATTACTCAGCTTCAGTTCATTATCTAGCAAACTTCATTAAGATAGAAGAACTATAACTAGCTAACTACTCTAGCAAATAACAGTTAAAGTATTTTTTTTTTGGTAAAAGAAAGTTAAAGTTAATCTAATTACAGGTTGGAGCTACCTTTTTCTACTAAAAAAATCATAGGTTGGGAACTCACTTAGGCAGTGAATCGACCCTCGACTAAAGCAATTGATCCAATACTATCAATCTATGGTGCTCTATTGACCTTATCAGGTATTCGCTCTCATAGGATCAAAGCAGAATCAATAATCTCGACTAAAGCATAATTGAATCATGAAAACCTAAATAGATTGAATATGTACTCAAGATAATTAAGTAGGAGTGCTCATACAATCATCCAATCAAGCAAACATAGTTAGGGTTCCTCAAAACCTAAGTGAAGTGAATTTACTTCATAGAGAAGAGAGAGAATGCAGTAAGAATCTTCAGATAATCAGTCTTCAAGTCCGAGCTTGTTCATCAAGCTTCCAAGGCTCCAAAAAATCCCTCAAATCGTCCCCTCACTCTTTGCTTCGTCTCTTGGGTGTTTGGGGTCCAAAATCCAACTCCCTCTCTTCAAAAAGCACAAAAGAATGTTTATACCCGAGCTGGTATTTGCACGGCCTCATGGCCGTGCAAACTCTCTGGAAACCTTGCACATACGTGCACATTTTCCAGCTTGCACCCCTAATAAGCTCCGTTTCAGCTCGTTTGACCTCCGATTGACCCGAAACTTGCGCCTAAGCCTTCATTTACTTTAAGTTCTGAAATATGACAAAGAAACACAACCTAGCGTAAAATATGCCAAATTATGAGAAACATCAAGCTAAACAATCAAGAAATGAGCGGTAAAACATGTGTAATTTTGTAGTCATCAGTAGTCAACGGTCAACACATTAACTGTTGACATGTCCTCAATTTTATTATTATTTACAAAATTTATTATAATAAAAAATTAATTTACAGTAATTTAAAAAAGCAAATGAACCCAGTCCCCCAAATCTTAAACCCGCCATGCACTGACCTCCTACAACCCATCCTCATTGTCGCCGACCTTGACATATCAACCGCCGATCGTCTATCTGCTCCTTTATTTTTCGGCATCCAAAATAGGTCATGTCGCCGGTCAACTGTTGTCCGTCAAAAAATAACGAACCTCGTTAATGGAGACTAAACATAAGGACACAAGCGATATATCGAGAATATTGGAGTACAAGTGACAAAAACCTTAAACGATAATTTCATGGTATTAACCTTTTTAATAATGCAAATTATTGAGTTTTATAATTGGTATTTGTTAACAGGTTTCTTACAGATCTGAAGCCCTATATGTAATTAATTATTAATAAATTGTGTGAACCATGACATATGAATTAGATTTGACTTAGACCAATAGCATTGTTCGAAATGACTTGGCAATGTAGAAATGACTTAGCCATGGGATCTACATAATCATCTTCGTTCTGGTCAAACGGTGTCTTTTACTATTAGGATAATCAGCATCTACAACTTTAAACATTTCACAAAACAAACAAGAATTGCTAATAGGAAGAATGCCATTGGCATATATATATAGTTACTTCATACTATTTTAGAGTCCTTCTATTATGTTCTAAGATATTGATGTTTTGAAGTACAAACTGAAGTTGTACTATAAAACTTTTATTAGTGTAATATTTTCTCTTTAATATATAGTAGGAAATTGTTTGTATTTTCTTCTGTAGGCCGGTACATGACAAGGTGTCCTCATTTTGATTTTTGAGAGTAAAGACTAAAACGGAAGTTTTCACTACTCACCAGTAAATTAATACTACTACCTGAAGGCGTTAATGAAGTTAATTAGGAAAGAGCAAGAAGCCTTACACTAATTAATTGCCGCCGAGGGGGGAAAAAAAGTCGAAATGTCAACCTGTTAATGACTTTGTATGATAAGGTGTTGATTAATTCAACTAAAGCCGCTAGCAGCTAGCCGGAGAAAGTTCCACGTACGCTGGTCAACACCTATTGGTCAGAAAAAAGCCTCGATCCAATCATTACTTTTCTTCGTGCCCCATGGACTTGACGAACATATAAATACTCCACACGTCTCCTCAATCAATCATCATTCACTTCTTTCATTTCCTTCTCCAAGTATACAGATTCTTTCAACCCTCTTCAGCCCTTTTGCACTCTAATTTCTTCTTTTCAACCTTCGATAGTCACAATGGCGTCTCGTTTAACTAACGGCCGCGGCCAGCTGCCTATTGCTTCAATGCTACTCTCGGCTCTACTTCTCTTCACTTCCACGGTGGAAGCCCAGCTGTCGAGCAACTTCTACGACTCAACCTGCCCCACCGCCCTCACCACCATCCGCGCCGGCATCCAGGCCGCCGTCCAAACTGAGCAACGGATGGCCGCTTCCTTAATCCGGCTCCACTTCCACGACTGCTTCGTCCAGGGCTGCGACGCCTCCATCCTCCTCGACGACACACCTTCCTTCACCGGCGAAAAAACCGCCCGCCCCAACGCCAACTCGGTACGCGGCTACAACGTCATCGACGACGTCAAGTCCCAGCTCGAATCACAATGCCCCGGCGTCGTCTCCTGCGCCGACATAGTCGCCGTGGCAGCCCGTGACGCGTCCGAAGCAGTAAATGGTCCCACGTGGACGGTCAACCTGGGTAGGAGGGATTCCACGGACGCCAGCAGGGCGGCCACCGAATCCGACCTCCCCGGGTTCAACGACCCGCTCGACAGGCTCATCGAGCGGTTTGACGCAAAGGGACTGAGCGCCAGGGACATGGTGGCTCTCTCTGGGTCCCACACCATCGGTCAGGCAAGGTGTGCTACGTTCCGCGGCAGGATTTACGGAAACGGTTCCGACATTGACGCCGACTTTGCCGCGACGAGGAGGGGGCAGTGCCCCTCGGTTGCCGGAGATGGAAACAATAATCTGGCGCCGTTGGATTTGGTGACGCCCAACTCGTTTGATAATAATTATTTTAGGAATCTGGTGGAGAGGAGGGGGTTGCTTCAGTCCGACCAGGTGTTGTTCAGCGGTGGGTCCACAGACAGCATTGTGGATGAGTACAGTAGAGATTCCGGCGCTTTCAACTCCGATTTTGCTGCCGCCATGGTCAGGATGGGCGATATAGAGCCGTTGACGGGTTCTCGGGGAGAAGTCCGGCGGGTTTGCACCGCGGTCAACGCCGCAGCTTGATGTGTAGTACTTCATGATCAGCATAGATTGTTCCGAAGTGTGTGGATGAGTGGATCACTTATGTTGAGACTATTCGTTAATTCATTCTTCTCGTACATGTGGTGTGACTAGTCATGTGATTACATTTGTTCACTGTATTTTCAGTTTTGCCTTGCATCTTTTGCTTTTGCTTACTGGTATGAAGTTGATGTAATTTCAATTTATCGAGGGTGTGCAGTAGTACAGCTTCTAATTAATGAATGTGAATTGAAACGTAAATTCTATTTTCAACAATTCTTCACTACATTTTTTCTCTCTTTGAGGGGATGAATTTGTTAAGTTGGGGGGATTTCAATGCTACTCTTAATGCAAATGAAAAACATGGTGGGAATTCGTGGAATGGTTCTCAATTCTTGGATTTCCGAAATCTTATTCAAAATTTAGGGATGCATGACCCTGGGTTCCAGGTGTTGTTCAGCGGTGGCTACTTCAGTCTGACCAGGTGTTGTTCAGCGGCGGTTCAACGGACAGTATTGTGGATGAGTATAGTAGGGATGCCAGCGCTTTCAATTCTGATTTTGCCACCGCCATGGTTAGGATGGGCGATATCGAGCCATTGACGGGTTCTCAGGGAGAAGTCCGGCGGGTTTGCACCGTCGTCAACGCCACAGCTTGATGTGTAGTAGTACTCCATCGGCATACAAAGTTTCGAAGTGTGTAAATCGCTAATGTTTAAATATAATTCGTTAAATAATTCTCGTACATGTGGAGTGACAAGTGTGATTCCAAATGTTTACTGTATTTTGGCTTGCATCTTTTGCCTTTGCTTACTGTGATTAAGGTGATGTAATTTCAGTTTTACCGAGAGTGTGCAGTACAGCTTCTAATTAATGGATGTCAATTGAACGTAAATTCTTTTTTTTTTTTGTTTTTTGTTTCCTTCTTCACTTTGAGGGGATGATCGATCATTTGTTAAGTTGAGGTAATTTTGATTTCCCTTGCTACACTAAAAAGAAGAAGAAATCAAAGCTTCACTTATTGGCGTATGCTACATATTGTAGGAGGAAAAATAAGATTTTATAGATTAGAGAAACTTCATTAGACCTCGAAAAGTCGACACGGGGAATTAGCAATTAAGTAAATAGAGAAAATAAGAAAACAGTTGCACATTAATGTTTGATTTTATAATTGAATTGATCCAACTGAATGGAATTGACTTTGATGAAGTTTTCTTAAGGGACATTGATTGCTTATATGCTCCGGTGCCCATCACCCACCAAGTCCTCAGATTTTAGATTAGTAGGGTTGGAAAATAGTACGGTTCTGTCAAACTATATTGATTGACACGGTTAACCGAATGCAATTTGTATCATATCCATAATTGTAGACTGAATTGGAGCGAAAATCCTAGTTGATAATAATACTCGTTCATGAATGATGCCCATATATATAGGGCCTGATGACTGATGAGCCATTTCAATTTTCAAAGGTGATTATAATGCGCATTTAGGTTCCCATAAAAAAAAATACTTTTTGGTTTTTATTTTTATTTCTCTTAGTAGTCAATCCTTTTCCTCTGAGGAATGAATTATTTCCGCCGGCACTTATTTATTTCCCTCACCTCCCAACTTTTGCCTTCGACCCGGAGAAACCCCAGCCGAAGTTGTTCTTCTTTTCTTTCCCCCCGGTATTTTATTAGGGTTCTAGACTTAGTTCCACCCCTTGTTTTTATTTGCAGGGCTTCAAATCCGTCACAACTCCAAAGAAGAAATCTGTAACTGTAAGTAATCTGTACCAATGAGTTCTTTGAGTTTCTGAACCTTTCCGTAGGCTCTAGTCATTGATCTCATGGGGATTCTCTTAGCTTTTTTCAATTAGGGTGAGGTAATAAAGTCTCCAAGAATTAATGTTCCTTCTCTTATGGGGCTTTTCCATGAACTACAGCAACCTTGAATTTTTGTTAATGCGGGTTTCTTTGTTAGGGATAATGGTGTGACCATTCTCTGATGTGGCTGGTGGTAGCTGGCATAATTAATTATTTACATGCTCATTTTATTTTAATAAATGCTCTGGGCATGGGATGTTAGCATGTTCATTTTGTTTCTACAACGGCTCTAGACATGTGAAAAAAGCCATAGCTTTCCGAGTGAACTAGTCAACTATAGATTCACCAAAGTATTAAATTTTTTTGAGTTTCTGTGTCGAATATGAATGCATGGGTTTGCTGTTAGTATTTGCGGAAATGCTTGGCTTATCGTTTTGTGTTTTTGTTTCCGATGCCACCTTCAAACTCAATCAGCTGTAGAGCACCCCCGTCGACGATGGCCACTGAAGGCGATGATAGCTGGTCCTCGAGGATGAGGAAAGAGTGTGCTAAAATGGCTGAAGGGGAGCTGGAGAGTTTGATTGCGAGGCAGCAAAGAATTTTGGAGAAAGTTGGTCGTAAATTGCCAGACGGAGGGCGGAAACACAGGGTTGCCATTGAAATCATGGGAGAGGAGCGACAGATTAGAAAATCCCAGCGGGAAACTATGTCCGACGCATCTACACATTATGGTGAACCACTTCAGGCTGCGACTCGAAAATTTGTTGCTTCACAAGAAGGGGTGGAATCCCTTCGGAATGAATTGAATACAAAATCACCTAAAAATTTGAAATTGAAGTACAGGGAGTTTGACAATGCTAAAGACCAGGTAAAAGTGTATGAAGAGGCTGTGCAGATTGCAAGGGATGTGAGTGAAGGGAAGGGGGTAGCAAGAGTATTAGTCGATCCCCCTGCGCCGAAAAGACTGCGAAAAGCTTCTCAGGAGGCTCAAGAGTATTCCGTTCGTGCGCAAGTTAAAATGGAAAAGTCGATTAAGAAGACCATTGATGCCGTGAATATGCCTAGGTATAGAGTTCAGAAACAGCCAGTCATCTACTTGAGAGATAGTGCTACGGATTATGGTTTTCTTGATCTTTTCATTAAAGAGATGGCTAGGTTGCGATACAACTTGACTGAGCACAAATTTTGGTTGTATTCTCGGGCGGTATTGGCGAACTTGAAGCAAGCACGAGGTTTTTTCAAGAAGGAGACCGAACCTGAGAGGAAGACTTGGCTAAAACATTTTGCCACCCAAGCTTTCTTCGGTAACAAGCATGAGACTCCACCAACACTGTATGATTACTCAACCTTTCCTGATGTGAATCGTGAAGAGTTTAAAATGATGGTGACCAAGCTGTACCCACCGGAGAAAGATTTGAAGCAACATTTTCGGGTGTTCATCGGGGATAAAGTGAAAAAGAATTTTTTCAAACTTCTACCAACCGATGAGATAAAGACAGCGTAGCTCAATCGCGATGTGTTATATTTTAAGGGAGGAGCTCTTCTAGTGTGCTCTATAGCACGCATGCTATAAAAAACAAAAAAAAAAGGTGACCTGTTGAGGAGATAACCCACTAAATAACTGGTCCCACATCATTAATGGCAATCTTGTAAATAATGAATCAATGTATACAAGTGTAGGTACAAATTAGAGTTGTACCATATAGTATAGGTACAAGTTTCAGCTGTACCATTGAAGAATTTGTTTCACAAAGTGTAGGTACAACTTAAAGTTGTACCATTAGTATAGGTACAATTTTTAGTTGTACCATAAAGGGATTTGTTAGAAAGTGTAGGTACAACTTAAAGTTGTACCATGGTATAGGTACAAGTTCGGGTTGTACCATAAAAGAATTTTAAGAAAGTGTAGGTACAACTTAAGGTTGTACCATTAGTATAGGTACAATTTTGAGTTGTACCATAAAGGGATTTGTTAGAAAGTATAGGTACAACTTAAAGTTGTACCATGGTATAGGTACAAGTTTGGGTTGTACCATAGAAGGATTTTTAGGAAGTGTAGGTACAACTTAAAGTTGTACCATAGTATAGGTACAAGTTTAGGTTGTACCATAGAAGGATTTTGAGAAAGTGTAGGTACAACTTAAGGTTGTACCATTAGTATAGGTACAAATTTGAGTTGTACCATAAAGAGATTTATTAGAAAGTGTAGGTACAATTTAAAGTTGTACCATTAGTATAGGTACAATTTTTAGTTGTACCATAAAAGGATTTGTTAGAAAGTGTAGGTACAACTTAAAGTTGTACCATGGTATAGGTACAAGTTTGGGTTGTACCATAAAAGAATTTTGAGAAAGCGTAGGTACAACTTAAAATTGTACCATTAGTATAGGTACAATTTTTAGTTATACCATAAAGGGATTTGTTAGAAAGTGTAGGTACAACTTAAAGTTGTACCATGGTATAGGTACAAGTTTGGGTTGTACCATAAAAGAATTTTGAGAAAGTGTAGGTACAACTTAAGGTTGTACCATTAGTATAGGTACAATTTTTAGTTGTACCATAAAGGGATTTGTTAGAAAGTGTAGGTACAACTTAAAGTTATACCATGGTATAGGTACAAGTTTGGGTTGTACCATAAAAGAATTTTGAGAAAGTGTAGGTACAACTTAAGGTTGTACCATTAGTATAGGTACAATTTTTAGTTATACCATAAAGGGATTTGTTAGAAAGTCTAGGTACAACTTAAAGTTGTACCATGGTATAGGTACAAGTTTGGGTTGTACCATAGCTGGATTTGGAGAAAGTGTAGGTACAACTTAAGGTTGTACCATTAGTATAGGTACAATTTTGGGTTGTACCATAAAGAGATTTATTAGAAAGTGTAGGTACAACTTAAAGTTGTACCATAGTATAGGTACAAGTTTGGGTTGTACCATAGAAGGATTTTTAGAAAGTGTAGGTACAAATTAAAGTTGTACCATTAGTATAGGTACAAGTTTGGGTTGTACCATAGAAGGATTTATTAGAAAGTGTAGGTACAACTTAAAGTTGTACCATGGTATAGGTACAAGTTCGGGTTGTACCATAGAAGGATTTTTAGAAAGTGTAGGTACAAATTAAAGTTGTACCATTAGTATAGGTACAAGTTGTTAATATATTTTTAAATTCAGTAGTTTAGCTGCATGTAGCCCACACTAGTGCATCATCATATTCTAATTGGAAAACATACAAGCACAAACGCAAACACACATAGCTAAGTACTAAGGACTTTTGTTGGCTCATCTTCACTGCCCATCTTCCTCGTCAGTGCTCTCGTCCTCGTCTTCGTTTTGATGGATTTGCTCATCTTCATTGTCCTCGCTAGAGTCACTGCCCTCTTCCTCATTGGTCCCTTTGTCATCTTGAGTTCTTTCCTTGTTTTGTTCATTGCCATTTCCCTCGTCGTCCTCCTCTTCACTGCCCTTTTCCTCATTGGTGCCTTTATCCTCTTGATTTCTTTCCTTGTTTTGATCATCGCCATTGCCCTCGTCGTCCTCCTCTTCACTGCCCTTTTCCTCATTGGTCCCTTTGTCCTCTTGATTTCTTTCCTTGTTTTGATCATCGCCATTGGCCTCGTCGTCGTCCTCTTCACTGCTCTTTTCCTCATTGGTCCCTTTGTCCTCTTGATTTCTTTCCTTGTTTTGATCATCGCCATTGCCCTCGTCTTCCTCTTCACTGCCCTCTTCCTCATTGGTCCCTTTGTCCTCTTGATTTGTTTCCTTATTTTGTTCATCGCCGTTGCCCTCGTCGTCCTCTTCACTTCCCTCTTCATTGCTTTCCTCGGTTGGCCTAGGAGATAGTTCCCAAGGTGTTGAGAATTTTTTGTAGTCAATCCTCAAGGACCTCATGATGTGATGGTTGCATTTGATGATGTAGCGTCGAGCTTCCTTTTCTCGATCGAGGCGGGAGAGAATGAGTGCATTTTGCTCGAGAATTTGGGCATTCTGCCGACCCAATGCCTCAAAATGGGAAATGTATTTGTCGGTGGATGGTCCGGCTTGAGTCGTAGTTTGGTGATGTTGTGCAGGTTGTTGCGGAGACTCCTCGACCATTTGCTGAACAACATGCTCCGATGCGTTTGCCTCATCTGTTGCAAGAGGTGGAGCAGGATGAGGGAGGCCAACAATGCCTAACACACCAATCTCCTTAACCACCAAACACAGACATGATCAATATCAGAAGCATTAGTTACATTTGCTCAATGTTCAAAAGGAACTAGATTAGCAGGCAATCCAAAACTTGCACAAAATCAATCCTAGATTGTTTGAATCCCGACTAGTTCTGTTTTAGCATTCACTGTGAAAAGGAAAGTGTTGGTTGGAACATTTACCTTTGACAACAAATATAGATCCGCAAGGTTTTTTTGGGAGATTGGTTGAGTGGACTGGGCAATGGTGCAATGAGAACCCACCGGATCAATGCCAAAATGCCGAGCTAGCCTTGTGATGTAGGCACCTCCATGGATGGTCTTGATTTGTTTGTTGGAGGTCATCTTCTGTAGGGTTTTCAGTATGACTAAACCAAGATGAATTGGGGGATCTTTTACCATAGAGAGGAAAAAGTTCAAATCCCGCTTGGTCACACTCCCCGGGCTACCCTCCCTAGCTGCCACAGAATGAGCGATAATGTTGTGGATGATACGCCATGGGGGAAGAAGATCATTCCCTTTATAGTGGGCAGTGTCAGACTTGTCCACATGGTTTTGTTTTACCCTTTTCCACATAGCATCGACCAATTGTGCTCTTGGTGAATATACTTTCTCTGAAATCAAACCATGACCTGTAGTGAGAAATCCTAGTGGGTATATCTGGAGTGCCTCTGTGAACTCAGTGATGCTCATCTGTCTCGCCTGTCCTCCAAGGCGAAAAGTTATGTTGTCTTCGGGCTTGTCGAGGTGAAATTCGCACATAAACTTGATGGAGAGAGTGCTGAGGAACTCAATGGTAAGCTCTCGGTAGATGACCTCATTGATGGAGAGAACCTCACACCATGCCGGGAGACGGAGGCATGTGCGAACGGGGTCCACTGCTCCGAGGAGCTCTAGGAGATCCCAATCAATGCATCTTTGCTGCCCAAATGGGAGGGGAAGGAAGCGCTCTAAAGCCCTCCTATGTTTGTCGGGTAATTGGAGGAAGCCGTGAAGTCCCCCTCCTCCAAGTTGAGCCTCCGTTTGTGGTGGTGGAGATGGTTGACGTGCTCGTCCTTGGTTGTTTTTGCGTTGTCGTTTGGGGGGAGTGTCTCGTTCTTGGGTTTGGCGGCGATGACGAGAAGGAGCCTTCACTTTAGCAGGTGAGGCTGATGGTTGCGTGGTTTTTTGTTTAGCTTTCCCCATTCCTACAAAAACCAACTAAACACATTAAGTCTTTAGTGAATGAGAGGGAAAAGAATTATGCATAAGCATATGCAATTCACAAAGAGACGTCTACACCCTAAAAAAATGCAACAAACCAGGAGCATTCTAATCCCAGGAGCATTCTAATCACAATTAGGAATTCAAAACCCTAATTCAGACCAACCAGGAGCATTCTAATCACAATTAGGAATTCAAACCCTAATTCAGACCAACCGGGAGCATTCTAATCACAATTAGGAATTCAAAACCCTAATTCAGACCAACCTTGGGAAACTAAACCCTAAAAAATGCAAGAAACCAGAGAAGATTGCCGCTGTGGTTAAGAAGAACTCACGAAGTGGAACAGAGGGCAGAGACTCGTGGGGAAATGGTCGCCGTCGCCGCTGAACCTTGGAGCAGTTACCATAGTCGTGGGGAAGTGGTCGGCGGCGGAAGAATCTTCGAGGGCGAGCGAGCGAGTGCGACCGATCGAGGGCGATGGCGAGCGAGTGAGGGCGAGGCTTGGGGGGGGGGTCGAAGTGCGATGGCGAGCGAGTGAGAACAGAGGGAGTAGAGTGAGAACAGGGGGTCGGGGGAGAAGAGGGTTGGGGGTCGAAGTGCGATGGCGAGGGTTCGGGGTCGAAGTAGAACAGAGGGTTGGGGGTCGGGTTCAAGTAGAAAAGAGGATTTTAAAACAGGGTGCGGACCAATTTGAGGGTTCCATCTCACGGTTTTTCTCCCGGGCGGGATATAACCCGTGAAACCCCCTGTCCGTTACAATTTTTTTAAAAACATTCTAACGGTATATCTACCGGCCGTGAGGTTCCATTTATGAGGCGTGGTTTGGGTTTCAACTGTGACCATCTCACGGGTTAATCTCACGCCCGTGAGATTAACAGATGAGCCGTGAGAAGTTCAGCATTTCAATTACACAAACATGGATCATCTCACGGCCGTGATACTGGCGAGACAACCCGTGAAACCCCCTGGAACTCCCCATTTTTTAAAAAAATCTAACTGTCCATCTCCCGGCCGTGAGATTTTCAGATGTGAGGCGTGTTTTTGAGTTTCAGCTGTGACCATAACACGGGTTAATCTCACGCCCGTGATATTTAAATATCAAAATTCGTGAGATTTGGGTTATGGGTCGTGAGAAATTGAGAATGGTTTCCATATCACGGCTTATTCTCTCGGCCGTGACAATTTAATTACAAGCCGTGAGGTTTCCATCTTAGAACAAAAAACAACAATAACTAGATATATCCATCTAGCCACCCACAATTGAAGAGAAGATCAATATT